TGCTCTCAGCTCGATTGGCGCAATCTTGTATTCTATCATTCTTGGGAGTATTACATATATGAAGGCACCATGATTCAATAATAAAAGGTTTGCTCAAAAAGCAGTTTTCTCGCTCCGTCTTGACAAAGTCGTCTTCCTTAAGGCTGATTCACATACAACTTTCTTCGCTTTGCTTGATAGTTCTTTGCTTTGACGTATAAGATCGATGTAGGCATATGCATGAGTATGCTCACATAAAAAACGTTTGAAGCAAAGCAAAGCAAAACGAAGCAGAATCTTGGGCAACTCTCAAGGCCCGTTTACATAGAACTTTGGCGTTGCGTTGGCGTTGGCGTCGCTTCAACAGCTGACTATGAATACATGAATTCAAATGCAGCCGTCCACATAGCCAAAATTCGACAACGCTCACGCCAACACAAAGCAAAAAGATGGCCAACTCTCAACTTTTCGCGTGCGTCGCTCGTCAGCTGTTGCGAATAAATAAAATTATGTGAAATATTTTTTCCTTTTTAATCAAGTGCGGGCAAGAAATATCGTTTTTAATGCAATTATTGATATGAAATATTAATTTATCTGTCGTTAATATGTTAATTTAGTGGCCCAAGGATTCGCCGCCAAGCGTTCATTGTAGCAAGCATTCTTTTAACGTGCGTTCTGTCAAACCAACGCCAACGCCAACGCAACGCCAAAGTTGTATGTAAACGGGCCTTCAACTTTTGCCCGCTTTGGCAATCAGCTGTCTACATTTATCTTTTCTTGTGCGCTTGCATTTGCTTTTAATGACAAAAATAGGGTAAATAGGAATTTTTATTGCTATTATTAATGCATATTATTATATTGCTATCTATTTTACAGATAAAAAATATGGAGGAAAAGGAGAACGCAAAAGCTGCCAAAGCGTTTATTGTAGCATACCTTCTGCGTTTCGCGCTTTGTTGTCAAAGTTTGAACTGTCAAGCAAAGCGAGGAAAGTTGTATGTGAATGGCCCCTTAGCAAGGCACTGTGTGTGAGTTCGTGTGTGTGTGCAAAGCTTTTGTAAGTGAGCTAAGGGAGTGTCAAAACTCTAATGTCAATAATGAGCAAACCTTTAATTATTGAATCATGTCATGGCACTACCATTTTTGCTTTTGCTTCGCTTTGAAATTTTTGATTTCAATTCCAACTGCTTTGATTTTGCTGTGACTTTGAAAATTGTATTTTACTCTTTAATCGGCAGCTTAGTGAAACTAATTTATTGCTATTGATTTGCTATGATAGTGCTTTTGCTGTGCAGAGATCTTCTTGGCTGTGCTATTCAAATTAAGCATTGTAGCATGGTGTATTATCGTTGAGTCGCCAGAAGTGAGTAATAGTCACAAAATTTGAGATACCAATTCAATTGCCTAATGAATTAACGATGTCATTGTAGCCTATAGAGCGGTACGCAAGCGATCTGGTGCAAAATTGGCGATTACCAACCGCTAGCGAATTGCCTAATAATCGGTAAGGCATGGAATATTTAGCGTATGGCCGTTTCTTGTCACCAGTAGAACTGAAGGGTAGTCATTTGTCCATGCATACATATTTCTGTCAATTTGATGCTTCACAGCCAAGTGATAATCAAGTTTTTGTTGCTTTGCTGTACAAATTGCTTTTTAACTGTCTGATTGCTTTCGAAATTTCACAGCAAACCGACAGCCAAAGAATCTGCTTTTTTACCTTCCTTTTATTAGCTCGGGATGTAACTATGTAATATTGATGCGCCTAAAAGATGCAGCGATTTCTATTCTCAAGTTACATACCTGATGACAGTACGGACGGCAATTATAATAGGGAGGTTTTAGTTTTTTAAACTATATTGTTATTCCGTATTACTGTTGCTTTGCTTTCGATATCATACATGCCGAAGTCAAAGCACTGCAAAAGCAAATTAAATGATAAAATTATAGCATTTTGAAATCCTGCTTTAGACACTTTTTGTAAAGCGTTCAATTCTCTACAAAAATACTCCAAGACCTTCACAGTATCCCTGTAGTCAAATGAACTAGTTGTAAACTACCTCATAACTAGTATGAACCGCATGCCCAACTAGTCAGCCAACTATCTTTTTCCCATGCAACCAACGGGTATTTTTTACATGGGGATGTCCTACGAGAAGGCAATTGTCAGATTTCGGTCAGAAATATACCAATCTCATACTAGTTGAAAATAGACAGAAAAATACTAGTCCAATTATGAACCAAACCCACTACTTTGGGAGTGAAAGAATAAAATGAATTCATTAATAATATAAAATCAAAAATAATTTAAAATGATAAAAAATAACAAAATAATGACGTAATTAAAATTAGTGAATTAATTTAAATTTTCTTAAGTAAAACTCGTAAGTTTACGAGGCTTTTACGGAAACGCCCCCTTTGTGAAAAGGTGCGTAAACTGACTGTTTGACAGATAAACCAGGATTTTGTGAAGCAATTTTTGTTTCGCTGCATTTTCTATAACATTCCGCCGTCTTGTCTCTATTACTATTGCCTAAAATAAAATTAAAAATGCCGAAAATTAGCAGAAAACTCATGTTAGTACTGTTAGTGGATGAAATTCATTGTTTTTATTCACATTTTATTATTTTCCATTTTTTTTTTTCAATACTATAAAATACATTTTAGTATATAATTTTCCGCTCCTCGGCAATACTGGGGCTCGTAAATAGAGCTCCATACAAATTTTGACATTTCTTTACGAGGTTTACGAGGCTTTTACGAGTTTAAGGGAAGACCCCTATTATTTAATAGGTCTAGTATAATTGAGTACGTACTCTATTTAATGGTTTACAATATACCCACATAAAAGTTATAATATTTTGTTTAGTCAAATAAAACAGGGCATGAATAAATCGTTTTGTACTTTGTACAAGTCTTTGCTGACTAGTTTGGGATTTCACTGCAGGGATAACGTATCGCCCTACAAAAAAAGTCTCAAGTCATTTTTCGATAAGTCAACTCGGTCAAAAGTTATTCCAGGTCAAAGTCGAAAGAATGGTGAATTCGTGGAGCGCTCAATTCTCTTCAAAAATACTCCAAGACCTTTGCAGTACAACGTATCGTTCGTTAAATATAAAAATCAGAATTTAAAAAAAAAACAATTTGTCCTGTGTTATTATTATGGGAAATCGAAAAGTGCGATGCCGAAATTCTTAATATTAATATTAAGCGCTCATATTTTCTGAGACTTACTTTGGCGTCTAAAGGAAACTTTTGAGCATGATTCCGAGGAAAGAAGATATAAAAAAATTTTCTGAATCACCCTAGTACACCTCCATATGCATATACATATACATAGTGCATATACTTCTATATATGAGACTTACATATCTATCGAAAGTATTTTCAATAACATCAATATCCAACTCGGTTTTCAAGGCGTGAAATGCTTCATCCGTGAGAAAGCTGCCTTTCAACAGCACTGGTTCGCTTTCTCGTTTTTCTTTGCCTGGCAGTAAACTTGCCGCATTTGGTATGAGACTGGGACGAGTACTTGGATTGAGAGAATCCGGCCCAAGTGCAGCCACCTGTGTTTCTGGATCTTCGCTAAGATGGAAGGTAGTTGTTGTTGTAGCTGTAAATACTCGGGTAAATATTATTTTCACGAATGTGTTTCTAGTAGTTACTAACCCGCCGTGGGCTTTATCTTTTTTCGTTTCTTGCCACGTCGTATGTCCTCATCGTCTATATGCTGTTCATTGATACAAGTTTGTACATTTTTAATTTCCACCCCTTCCATTTCTTTAGTGCTATCAGTGACTGGGGCATTACCTAGGGAAGTGTTGGGGCGCTGATCCTCGAACCGTTGCTGCTTATTTTTTCTTTCCTCATTAGCGCCAGCGCTCTTGGGCTTAATACCACTAGTATCTGTGATACTTTGTGACATATCCGACGATGGTTTCCAGTATAGAGTCTCTTGAGAGTGTGTGCGTCGTAAATCCAAAATGATTTTTTTCCGTTTGATTATTTCATTTTTACCCAACTCGGGGGTTATGCAGCGTCGATTGTTTATGAAGGAACTGGTGCTGTTACGTGTGTGCACACTTGTAACGGTTGGCGTTGGGGTGAGAGGACGCGAGTCTGTGTCAGTGTACCGTCGGACAAGATCCTCGGGTATGTTATCGTGCTCATTAATTGGTGATACAACGTTTTTGTCTTTCAGAAGATTTACACTTTTTCCATCCACTGTCTAAAATGTTTAGTTTGCATTAAAAATATCTAATTGTGTAAATTTTTCCATTACCAGTGAAGATTTCATTTGACTTATTATATCTTTTAGGCCAGATGGTGCAGGATGGTTGCAAAGTACCGAACAACCTTTAGAAAAGGGATTGTACAGACCTCCAAATGGCCGCAATGATAAAGCCATTGGCATCGCCTCAAATCTGATAGGTAACTCGTCTGTCGATTTCTTTCGCTTAGTGAAATATGTAAGTATAAATAAGTATGAAAGTACACAATCATTGTATGTATATTTGTACGTATGCATGTAGGTATGTATGTGAATATTATACACATATATGTACTTTGAAAAGCGACGGTAAAATAAAGTTTACCTTCTTTTTTAATATGAAATCTTTTTTCTTGGCTGGTACCAAGCCGGTTCTACTGGTTGTATTCATTGTTGACTATAGTTACAAACTAAATTGTTTATTTCAACTTTGATAATGAACGCTATTTATTCTATTGACTTTTTGGTTACCAAGTAAACCTAAACGTATGCACTCAATAAGCAGTGATATGTTTATGTGCACTGAGAAAAACCATATCCTCTTTGTTTCAAAATAAAACACATATGATTTGGAACCAAACGAACTTTTGTTTACGTTAAACATTTCACAAATGCTTTTTTTTGTAATTAATAGCGTTTTCTTCATCCATGAAATTGTTGCCTCAATATAAGGCAACATCATGTAAATGTTCCCCTGCGCCTCGTAGAAAGGCTGAGTTTTGCGTATGGCAAATATATCATCTACATATTTGTTTATGTAAATATTATTAACATAGATCTAAGGGCATACATATAAAATACATAAACAAAAATGTATCATCTACATTGCCAGGGTTATTTTTGCAGATTATTCATTTGTATGTGATTTCGTTCTGCACTTCACAGATGCTTTTTCGCAATTAAGAAAAATCATATGCCAAGTCTAAATAGCATTCGAACCCGAACCCTCCTGAAAACTAGCAAATTGTAGCAAGAATCCCTGCGTACTCAGCTCCAGCCACAACAAGTAAGTGTGTTTTCAAATGTTTGCTTTGAGTCAATGCCACATCACGAGACTGGTGCATTTGTACAGATTTATACATTTTCATAGTTATAGGGTTTTATTGAGCTGATCTGATTTTAAAAAAATTCTAAACAACGACACTCTGTGATCGATCAAACGGACTTGTGCTTTAAGTTTGTTTTAAAAATACTTAGACTCAAAAATTTCCAATCGCTAATCTGAAGAAACCAAAAATTACTCTGTTTGAAAAAAATCTTGTAACTTTTTTCTCAGTGTATATCCCCTTTGATATGCGCCTAGTTACACCGTGTAATTAGCAGTTTTGTATTTGCTAGTAATTTTTTTCAAACAGAGTAATATAAATAAATTTATATAATTAGACATTTTTATGTATATTTTTTTAAGTTTACTTAGTTTTTGTGAACTTTGTGTAAGCTTTGAAACTTTTATTTAGGTGGTTTCTGATATATGTACATCGACCTATACTTTAAATGAAACATATTAACAATCAATAAATAAAGTGAAGTTGCCACTGCATCATTTTGAATTTTGCGGCTATTATTTTGGCCGCAACTACGTACGTGACACACACAACCATTTAAACCAGAGGTGGGCAGCTTCGACAGAGAATTTTTGTAGTGTGCGAGAAATTGATGTCAATGTGTGCGTGCGAACAAGTCGTGCGGTTGAATGAAGCTTTCGCTGCCTTCTAAAGCAGAGCGTGTGTGTATACGCGAATATGCACGCCGGGCAGGCGCCGCCCAGGTGTGATTTAAACCACTTAAATACAAATTCCTAACTGTGTTGCAAACGTAATAGAATACCTAAAAGCTGTATTGAATCTCAAACTTATTAATCAAAGTTTTTTATAAATATTTCGAATAGCACATTAATTATTTAATTAGTATCACAGAAATACTCAATATGCATAAGAGATACAAATTAGTTTTAATAATAATGGTTTTAGAAAACGAAGGAGTAACAGAAACTTTAGGTTCATTCCTTATTTTTTTGGACTAAAATCTGAAAAGTGTCAAAATGCCAGAGCGTAAGCAAAATGCGCTCTCTAAAAGAGAATAACAGGAAAAGTAAAGGAACGCAAAAAACCAAATTTTTAGTCCACAAAATGGCAACAACAATACTATCGTCAAATAAGAATGAAAATGTATCTACAAAACACATTCACACAAGCACAAGCACAATAAACACTTACTATATCAATTAGTTTTTGCCTCCTTCCAATTTCAATTCACTTTTTTTACTTTTTAGATTATTATCACTTTTTGCGTATTCTTTAATTTCCGTTAATTCAAATTCAGTTGTGTTTGACACTTTTCAGGATTTCGCCAGAAAAAATTCTTCTGACTAAATCTGGCTACTTTGGACTGATGAGAGTCACTCTCACTGAGTGTCGCTCTCTAATTTTTGCTCTCATTTCCGAGTTAAGGAACGCATTTTGGACTACATCTGACTACTTCGGACTTTTTCTGACTATTTCTGGGAGATAAGGAACGCTCCTTTTATGTTCCTATTTTAAAGCACAGTTTGCCTCAAAAAGTAAATTAGTGCAAAACAAGAAACAGCTATTTACAAATTAAATGAAGTATTTTTTTATTTACAAAAGGGTATGCGTGCTTAGTAAATTACAGTATTTAAAGAAAGGCCCTATACTATACTTGTTAAAACCAGCTCAGAACTAACCATATTTGATCTATCCCGGATGCCTCTATTTGAACTAACTGTTACTATATGAACTGTCTCAGAACCATCTAAGCCAGAGTCAGCTCAGAACAAGTTCAAAAGTTCTGCAGAGGGCGACAATTGTCACTTCGTAGAACATCGCCACGTTAAAAAGCATTGAGTTGGGATAGATGAAGAACCAGTACCGTCCCTTTTTAGGCTAGCTCAGCGCAAGTTCGGAACCAGTTTGGTTTGCTGCAGGGTATCGTTGAATTATTTTAATATCTATTGCAAAATTTTATACAGAAAAGACTAAAAAGTAGAAAATAAATAATATTAAAACAAACTGTTTAATATACAATGCTTTTATAAATGGACTAAAAAGTAGAAAATAATAATTCTCAGTCCCATAGAATTTGTTGTGATAGCTTTTGATTTTGAAATTTTAGCAAAAGTCATTATAAACCATTTATGAGATTGAAAATGAAAAGCGTGGGGCGCATGTACTAGGCCAGAATTGATATGAAGGGTAATATATGTATGTATGTGGATATATAAATAGCGACCGCTTAAAATTGATCTCAAATTTGTACTTTCTCTGTAGAAATTTTAGGTTTATGTTATGTAGTTTGACTATTGTCAATTAAATCTAATATTTTGTATTGCATGCGCCCCACGCTTTTCATTTTCAATCTCATAAGTTGTTTATAATGAGTTTTGCTAAAATTTCAAAATCAAAAGTTATCAAAACAAATTCTATGGGACTAAGAATTATTCTTTTCTACTTTTTACTCCATTTATAAAACCGTTGTATGTTAAACGGTTTTTTTTTTAATTTTATTATTTTATTAATATTTGGCGCAACAATCAGAAACAGAAAATTTTACCAATGGCCTCTCTGTTTTGTATGTTACGCCAGTTTTTCGTACCAAGTATATAAAAGTTATTCTGCACTCGGATTCATAGGCGCCCTTTCTTTTCTCTACCGATCATGGGTGCCAAGGCGAAAGATTCTTATGTCTGTTCAACCGCAGTTCCTAGGGTAACTATAGAGCATATCGTCACCTGAGTCGAAGATCTACATATCTCGTCAGCCAGTTCAAAAACGCCCTATCTCAGAAACCTTTCAAGAATGCCCTATTTCAGAATTTGACTAAAGGACGCTCAGTTCAGAATTTGATTGAAAAACGCCCTATCTCAAAATTTGGTTGATGAACGCCCTATCTCAGCTGCCGAAATTCTGAAATAGGGTATCCTTTAATCAAAGTCTGAAGTAGGGCGTTCCTGAAAAGTTTTCTGAGATAAGGCGTTTTCGAACGGGATTCCGCGGTAGGTCGATCTTCCACTCAAGTGACGATATGCTCTACCGTTTCTCTTGCAACTGTTAAGTTACAGCTATGACAAGAAGTATTGTGCTCCAGTTTTAGTCTTGCGGCATTGGTTCCCAGGGCCTAATGACATGTGTAAACGGCAGTTAATAAAGACAAATCCTCCTGTTCAGTTTAATGAGAAATGGAACAGGTAGTCCACAGACACAAAGAGCCATAGAGTCACAAAGGATAGTAGGTATTTCCACCTACTGTTCGTCACCATTTTCCAGGCCCTTGCTATAGCTCAGAGGCAAAAGAACTTCTTCAGACATTGAGATGCTGTTACCCCAGCCTAAATCCATGTGAAAGGAGATCATTTTACTGCAAAAACTAATTCTTGTTAACATATAAAGTATTAGGATGCATTGCAAAACGTCAAAATACAAAGCATAAGTCTCTTTTATTTCTAAACCTCAGTATATTATAATGCCATATGTGCGACTTTTTCTTCTAGCGCGGATCGAAACTAAAACTATGTTCACATATCAATATTATCTCAATCAAAGCTCGTTTTTTAATCACCCCGTTTACACAGGCAAATTTCAGATTATTAGCCGTCAAATTTGTTGTGCTCTTTATTCTCACATCTCAAGGAAAAGTTATGTTTCTTCTCTGTGCCACCGTGATCACGTTTTTCTGCAATAATAAGCAATATAAATATATTTTAACTTAACATTTTATTAAAAATACCCTTACAAACCTCTTTTACTTGCTAGCGTACATTTTTGTTTACTTTTACATTTGGCATTTCTCCTCTCTTTCGCAAAAACAATCGATAAAACTAGGATGGACAACGAAAAGTTATCGGTTAAATCTGAGATTATTTTATAATTACAGATTAACAAGGGACGAATTTTGTATGGCTAATCTCTTGTTATAATTACAGATTAGGGTGTTAAGCTCGAAAATGAGGATAACCTACTTATATGTGAACCTAGTATAAGTATGTAAGGCTGTATAACAGTTTTAAGGTTGTATAACAGTATCTAATACCATGTCCCCACCAAAAAGTTAACCATCTCAAATCGAACTTAACCACATCACTAACTATTGCTGTCCACACTGCGGTTTGAGGTTTATAAAACAGTACAAATGTAAAGAACAGTGTTCGGACCTCCAAAAATCGATTCAGGACTAAATTACTGCAAAAATCAGAGCAAAAACAAATAATCCGTACTAGATTGAATTTTTTATTTTTGTTTCTGACATTAATTAATTACATTGTTTGACTAAAATATTTTCTATTCATGCAAAATAAGAACGCGGGGCAATGTAAGGATAATATGTTACATATTTAGGTAATTTTTAGCATTTTCTATATAGTATAGTATAGTATCT